GCCATGGAGTCGGTTCCAAGTCACAGCGACCCTGTACAGGGTTTCCAAGTCTGTAAACGGAGCAGAACCACCTCATCTTTCTCCCACAGAACAGCTAGTAGATTCGAACTGATCTTGAGATTAGCAGCCCGATTCCTAACCACTATGCTACCAAAGTATGTGCTTTTAACCTGTTCCTAATGTGAACTATCTCTCAGAGGTGTCTCAAATTAGTGAGATCGAAAATATAACTTTCTTGAGAACAAAAAATGAACAGAAAAGATAGTATCTGTAGGAGTAGGTGGTCAAAAACTATTATTTTAAATATGAACATTCAAAAAATGACATACTGGGCTTTCAAAATATGGTGGCACTTTAGAGTAAGACAATCAATATGCACATCTGCAGCTCAATAAGGAATTCATTAGCCTAATTAACTAACCAGGTTTTAGAAAACGAAGTCCTAGAATTCTGCCACAATAATCTCAAACACACACACACAAATATGTACATACGTATATAACACACATTATTACGTATTATGGACTCCTGGTGTGGTGCTGTGGGATCCACCAGCTGCTCCTTGGAAACACTATACAGGGTTGCTATGAGTAGGAACTGACTTGATAGCACTAAACAACAACAACATTATGGAATCCTGGTGTTGTGCTGTGGGTTAATATGCTAGACTGCAATGTTGGTTTGAACAACAAGGTTGGCAGTTCAAGCTCATTGGTTCAAGCCCACAAGTTGCTCCTCAGAAACCCTATAGAGGGTTGCTATGGGTCAGAAGCGACTAGATAGCACTTAACAACATTTATGTATTATAAATATAAATTATTAATTCATCATTTATCTATAGTGCTTGCGGATAAGCATGGGATTTCAAACCACAAGATTGGTGGTTCGAGCCCACCAGCCTCTCTGCAGGAAAAAGATGAGGTTTTCTGTTCCCTCAACCTTGGAATCCCTATAAAGGATGGCTATGAGTCAGAACCAACTCAACAGGCACCTAACAGTATAAACATCACAAAACAAAAACCCCAAATAGAATTTTAAAAAGGTTAAGATAAAAAAAAGAGAGATCTTTTGAAGTTCTAGCATTTTCTTCCCCAACCCTACTGCCTCATCCACAACCCTCCTCGGGTGGATGGAGACACCCCTCTGGACACCACACTGTTGGTGGTAAGTGCTCTCAAGTCAGTTCCAACTCATAGCAACCCGATATAGGGTTCCTGAAGAGTGCCCGGTAGGTTTGAACTGCTGACCTTTTGGTTAGCAGTCCAGTGCTTACATTAAAGCACCATACCAGGGCTCCAAAATACAAAGCATTATCTACTTAACTTCTAGCATTTTCTTCCCTGACCCAATTGACCACACACACACTTTCTGAGATAGACACAGTTTGTTCTAAGTGCTGTAGAGGTGCTTTTAACTCATGGTGACTCTGTATAGGGTTCCCAAGGAGCGGCTAGTGGGTTTGAACTGCCAATCTTGCGGTTAGGAGTCCAGTGCTTACTTACCACACTGCAGTTATACAAAATTACTTTAGTTCCCAGATACACTCCACTATTTCATGCCTTGCATCTGCTGTAATTCAGCATTCTGAATGCTCCTCATCCCCTCAAAAAAAAAATCCAATCACAATCTCTGTAAGATTCCTTCAAGAGTCAGTTCAAGTATAAACACCTTAATACCTGTGAACTAGTCTCCTGTCCTTTCCTCTTCTCACTCACCAGCCCAACCTTTCTCCACTCCCTTTCAGGTCTGGGTCAACTGCCTCTGTTTATGCCTTCATTACAGAACCATTACATAGCTTCTTGTCTACGTATCCATTTCCCCCCTCAACTATAAACCACTAAGGACGGCACTCTCATCTGCTGTTATCAGGACTAGAGCGTCTAACTCTAGCAAACATGCACGTACTGGCACCATCAAACACCCTCACAACAGACGAAGAAACTGAAAACTCATGTTGTATGTGTCCAAGGTACTAATGCCATTGGGCTGCTCTCTATTTACAGCATGGCATCCTCTGAATCCACTGTACTTCGTTTCTTTGTCACCAGAAGACTTAGAGAGTATATGGAACAGCAGTAAGGTTCTACTCCAGGGATTTAAAAACAAGAAGTTAATTTGTTGTTGTTGTTAAGTGCTGTTGAGTTGGTTCTGACTCATAGCGACCCTGTATAGGGTTTCCGAGGAGCAGCTGGTGGGTTTGAACAACTGACCTTGTGGTTTGCAATCCAGTGTTAATCTGACAGCACCACACCAGAAGTCCAAACAGTTAATTTGCTGTCATTATTAAGTGCAATGGAGTCATTAATGCCTTGAAAATGTGTAACAGAAGACAGAAAGCTTAAATGATCGTATTTAAGTGGTCCATTCATTGGTCTTTATTACTAAAACACCACATACACCTTAAGATATTTATACAGTATCTAAACTATCTGATGGCAATCACATTCATGTGCACAATTGATAGAATATTGTTCTAGAGCATCTACCTACATACCCCAGTTGCATAGTTTTAACTTAAGATTTTCTCAAAGTTGTGCCCACTCAAAGTACTTTTGTGGTGATAATTCAGAGTTTAGGGGTGGTATACAAGAGGAAATGATATACTAGTGTCCACAAACTTGGTAAACCTATTATTTGCAGAGTGTTTACATATGATCAAATATCAGAAAAATGAAGAACTCAAAACACTGAACTATCAGACCATCCTATTACTTTTTGCTACTAAAATGCAAGCGTTTAACTGTTCTTGGCCATTCTAAGAATGTAAGAAATACAATGTTTATAAACTATACAACAGTAAAAGTTTAATTTCTAAGTATGGGAGCTACGAGAGCACATGTGAGATGCAGTATCCTGAGCACTGGCCACTGTCCCTGATGATTCTAAGCATTTGGAAATGTATCCTTATGCAAAAGAGAAAATAATCTCCGAGCTCCTTACAGGGTGCTTTTGAATGCCTTCTAGAACCCTTTCAAATTTATATGCTCCTTAGCAATTTCAGGCAGCCTTTCTCTTGCCTACTCTGAATCCCTGTTTCCACATCTGTAAAAGGAAGCTTGGACTAGGTCCACGCTATGGTTAATTTCAGGTCAAAGCCAAGTGACTTCAAATTGGAGTATATTTAACTACTCAAAATTAATGACACATGTGAATGGGTCGTTTGTCGGTGGTCACCAGGGAGTGCTTAGGAAAACTCTACCACACAGGTGTACCATCACTAAAAAAGGTAACTTACGAAGCCCATTTGTAATTTTTTCATTACCAAATAATTATACTTTATGAAAGGATTCAAGAAAAGCCTCCTCATTGTAAAGTTTCCCTAAGGAGCCAAGCGCTATGCCAACTGCTGTTTGCAGTGAGAGGAGTCAGACTGTCTTGCAAACAACAGATGGGAAGCCAATAGCAAATTTATTTTCTATGTTACAATTGTAAATCAGTGACCAAACATTGTCAGCACGACTTGTCAAGAGTTAGTCTGCACAAGATAGGAGGCGCAGTTTCAAGCACAAAATCGTTATTCATTTTATTCCAATTAATACTGCAATGGCTAGCATTTATACTGGGCTATTAGGCACTGGTAAGGAATGTAGTTGTTAATTTATCTAAATCAAATATATTTTCTTCTATAATTTTACTCTAGAATTTCAGTTCACATGGATATCTTCTATCTTAGAAGTCTTATTATATTTTTTATCAGGTCATTTGGTCTGGCCAGTAATTTTTTTTTTTAAATTATTTTGTTATGTTATTCTTGTCTAAAGGAGCTCTGGTAGCGTAGTGGTTACGAATCGGGCGGCGAACCTTAAGGTCAGAGGTTCGAAACTACCAGCCGCTCCGCGGGAGAAAGATGAGGCTTTCTACTCCCGTAAAGATTTACACCCTCGGAAACCCTATACAGGGTCGCTATGGGTCGGAACCGACTCAACGGCACTTAACAACAACAACAACAATTAGGAGCTCTGGTAACGTAGTGGTTCCGAATCGGGCTGCCACAGTCAGCAGTTCAAACCTACCAGCTGTTCCGCGGGAGAAAGACGAGGCTTTCTGCTCCCGTAAAGATTTACAGCCTCAGAAACCCTGTACAGGGTCGCTATGAGTCGGAACCGACTCCACGGCACATAACAACAATTATGGCGCCAACACTGATTTTACATTGACTCATTTCATCCTCTCAGCAACCCCATGGAGTGGATACGATTATTATATCCATTTCACAGATGACGAAAAGAGGCAAAAATAAAAAAAAGGCTATGTGACTTGGTCTAGTTCGCTCAGCGAGTAATAAATAGTCAAACTATGATTCGCATCCAACTACCAACAACCTTCGCTTCTTCTTTCTACTCCTGAAGAATTCCCACTGGAACAATTAGTTCCGTTTAACCAACTATATCATGATTATAAAATCAATACATGTTTTCTTAGTAGCTTCCCGTCTCCGATTCTTTCCCTTTGCCAGAGGGAAAAAAAAAAAAAAGCAGGGACTCTGGATACACGGAAGGCGCATCCCCAAAGCCCGGACCACCGGCCTTGCCCTAGATTTCTATTAGAACCAACGCGTCCTGGAAATCGAGTGTTGCTCCGTTCCCTAGTCTTGCAAAATCTCGGTGTCTCCAGCTAAAAGCCGTGAGAAAAGGGATCAGGAGCGCGTCTGAGGCATCGTTAACCACTTCAAATACTCCGTAAGACCCGGATGGCCTCCACGGGTCGTAAAAAAGATACCGATTCTTTCAGGGTTTGAAACAGCAACTGATCCAAGAGTCCAAATGGTTTTCCTAATGCTAGTTCCTCCTTTAAAACACACACAACAACAACAACAATTCCGGCCAAATCGCTTTCTAAGGTGCAAGTCCACCTGCCACCTCCCCGAAATCTATGCTGGGCCTGCCCGGGGCCCCGCCGCCCCGCCGCCCCGCCAGCGCCGCCCCCGGCCGACACGTGTGAGGGTGTGTTTGGGTCCATCTGTCAGTCCGCCACCCCCAGCCCGGCCCGGGCCCGCTCACCGCGAGAGCAGCGCCAGCTTCTGCTCCAACATCATCTCCAGCTTCTGGCCCTGCTTGGAGATCCAGTGGTCCACGCCGTGCAGGCGGTAACACGTCTCCAGCATGGCCCTGAAGTCCGCCACGAACTCGGTGATGCCCGCGTACTGGCCGCGGGAGAACTTCTCCTCCATCTGCAGCAGGCACGGGCCCGGCCCCGGCGACGAGACAGCGCGGCCGGCCCGGGCCCCGGCTCCGACCCCGGCGGCCTCCTCGTCGGCGCCCGCCGGCTGCAGGAAGGGGGCGGTGAGGCCGCGGTGCTTCTCCTGCAGGAACTCGCCCAGGATCCGGTAGCCCTGCTGCAGCTCGTAGGGCAGCTCCTGGCCCGGGCCGCTACCGACCCCGGTCGGCGTGGCCTCCGCCGCCTCCTCTCGGCCGGCGGCGTCCTCACGCGAGGTGGCGGCGGCAGAGGCACTCTTCCCTCGGGCCGGCCTGGCGGCCACCGCCTCCCCATCCTCCTCATCCTCGGCCGCCGGTGGCGGCCGCTCCTCCTCCCCGGCCGGCTCCATGTCCCCCGGCGTCGCCGGCGCGCTCATGCCTGCCACAGGCCCGGATAGGGCGCTGTGCGGCGGCCGCTCAAGGCGCGGGGGCCGCGTGAGCGCGGGCCGTCTCCTCACGGCCC